TCACATACTCTTTTAGATCAACACATTTTTAACACGTGGCTACATTTGCACGTACTGTATCTGTATGTACTCTTTTTCTGCTAATCTGCTTGAAACTAACCTGCAGACATTATGATGCTTTACCAAAAGCATTTAAACATGTATCTCCTAAGATCAAGGACATGTTTCTACATAAGCAGAATACAATTTTTATATTCAAATTTAATTTTGATGCAGTAGTACCTAATTTTTCTTTAGATACTCTCAGTTGTCCCAGTAATATCTTTATAGTTTTATTTTCTTCTGTGTTGAAGATCCAATCAAGAACCATGTTTGTATTTGTTTGCCATATTTCTTTAGTTTCTTTAACCTATAATTCCTATACCTTTCTTTTCTTTCTTGTCATTGTTTGGGCCAGCTGTTTTTAGCCTGTCATACAGTTTGAATTTGTCTGATCGTTTCCTCATTAGATTGTGGTTAATTTTCAGCAAGAGTACTTACTGTACAAGTTGTTACATGTTCTCAGAGTCTTACCTCAGGAGCCATATAGTATCATTGTGTTCTTTTACAGGTTGAGTATTCCTTATCCAAAATGCTTGGGACCAGTAGTGTTTCTGATTTCAGATTTTTTCAGATTCTGGAATATTCTTGTTACACTTACTGGTTAAGTATCCCAGATCCGAAAACCTGAAATGCTCCAGGAGCATTTCCTTTAAGCATCATGTTGGTGCTCAACAAGTTTTAGATGATGAAACATTTTGGATTTTCAGATTTGGGATGTTTATCCTTCATTAGTGATGTTAAGTTTGATGATAAGAGCACTTTGGTCAACATATTTTAAAAATCAATTCCAAATCCTATTACTTGATCCTTGTAAGTATTCATAGTGTTTAGAAAATAAAAGGCTGGGCGCGGTGGTTCAAGCCTGTAATCCCAGCACTTTGGGAGGCCGAGGCGGGCGGATCACGAGGTCAGGAGATCCAGACCATCTTGGCTAACACGGTGAAACCCCGTCTCTACTAAAAAAAACCAAAAAACTAGCCAGATGAGGTGGCGGGCGCCTGTAGTCCCAGCTACTCGGGAGGCTGAGGCAGGAGAATGGCGTAAACCTGGGAGGCAGAGCTTGCAGTGAGCTGAGATCTGGCCACTGCACTCCAGCCTGGGCGACAGAGCGAGACTCTGTCTCAAAAAAAAAAAAAAAAGAAAATGTTGTATTTTACACAAAGAAAGGATAAATGCTTGAGGTGATGAATACCCCACTTACCCTATTACATATTATATGCCTATAAAATACCTCATGTGCCCCATAAATATCTACTGTGTACCCACAAAAATTAAAAATACAAAATTTTTAAAAACAAAAAAGAAAATGGTATCTTTGTACTATGAGGAGATATGTGATATAGTAGAAGAAATTATCTTAAAACCAATACAGATACCAAAGAACTGCAAAGTCAATGTGGAAAATGCAAGCTGTGTTATTGAGGGAAGGCAGGAGTTGTGAAGCACAGGTCTGACACAGATACCTACAGCGCTCCCAATGGTGGCTCGTTTTTCTGTTTTTAAAAGAGAAACCAGAAATCCATATTTTTATGTGAAATCTCCTGATTGAAAAAACAACTCTGAGAAGACCCCCAAGACATCTTGGACTACTAGTTTGTGCTCTCTGTCGTAAAGGAATGTCGGAGTTTTTGATACAGGATGAGGTCAGCCATAAAAACGGGATTAGTTTTAAGCAGGAATTTGAAAGGTTAAGGACAATGGTGTGGAAGGAATGTATGGAAGACTTGGGAGGAGAGTGAGGGAATGGTGAATAGATTTTCTTATCTCAGGCACTGTAAGCCAAGGTGAGTGTATTCTAACACAGGAAGACAATTTGAGAAAGATATTAGAAACTTGTTCTAATAATGAGGGGATAGAATGTCTGCTAGTTTATGAGGAAAGGAAATTTGTTATACTTTGAGTTGTTCTTTTATACCAATTGTCTTGGTGTATTTGGTTTATTAACAAATTCTTTGCTCTCCACCAGCTTCGGGCTCTGTATTCAATGTATCTTCGGAAAACAAAGAGTTTGAATAAATTGCTCTATCACCTGTTCAGGCTTATGCCAGAAAATCCAACCTATGCCGAGACCGCAATTGAGGTCCCAAATAAGGACCCTAAAACATTCTTTACTGAGGAGCTCCAGCTGAGTATTCGAGGTCAGTAAGATATGTGTTTATGTTCTTTCTTGGATGCTAGATTCACACTAGGTTGAATTAAACTTTTCCCTGGGAATGTGGAGAATAACCCCAAAGCTAGGTCCTGGCTATGAGAATGTTGAACTTGACCATTTTCCACATTTCTCTAAATAGGATGAATAATTCGATTTTACCCTAAAATAAAGGACTGTGAGGAATTTAATATATTTTTGAAGCTTACTGTGGTGAGACTATTAACTTTTGACTCTGTAAACAAGTATTTCTTATGTGATAACATTTTATAGGCATATAAATAAGGGGAAATAAAGTTGAATAAAATGTATTTCATTCTGGGAGCTCGCATGTGAGCAGAGAGGATAGATGTGCATATATGTGGTTGTACCACAGTATTGGAAACAATTTACTAAGAATATTCATTTTTTAAATGCCTTGGAGATCTGAGGATGGGCTGCATCTTGTGAGTATTGAGTTGGGTATTCTAAGACTTCTGCACAGCAGCACAGCGAGCTCTGGGGAAAGTAAAGGAGGCCAAACTCCTTTTCATAATTTATAACACCAAGCATCTTTAATTTTTCCTTCTTTTTAAAATATATTCTATTTTATTTGTAGTCTTTCATGTTAAATATAGAATTCTGTTTCTAGGTAGATTTTTTCAGTGTCAATTGGGATTTTCACTTTAAAAAACAATTATTTTGCCATTCTTATGGTTCATTTTGAATGTGTGGAAAGATGCTCATACTCCAGAGTTCTGGTTTCTCTGGTATGTTTGTTTGATGAGCTACAGCACTATCGTTGAGGAATTAAGGATCACTTTCTAAAGAAAATACTAATATTAGTCTGTTATTCTATATAAGAAATACATGTGACTAATCAGGAATTTGTTTTTTCCTCAGAAACAGCAACTCTTCCATACCACATTCCACACTTGGCTTGCTCAGTCTATCATATGACATTAAAAGACTTGCCTGCCATGGTTAGGTTGTGGTGGAATAGCAGTGAGAAGCGTGTTTTCAATATTGTAGATAGATTTACAAGCAAGTATGTCAGCAGTGTTCTTTCTTTTCAAGAAATATCTTCTGTACAAACAAGTACACAACTATTTAATGGCATGACGGTTAGTATTGTCTTGACTTTCTCCAGAAAAGTTGTTTTAATATTGGGTATGTCTGTCATTGTTAATATCAAAACAGACTGTAGCTCTTGGCTCAGAATTTATAGAAACTGGTGGCCAGGAGTTATGGCTCATGCCTGTAATCCCAACGCTTTGGGATGCCAAGGTGGGAGGATCACTTGAGCCCAGGAGTTCAAGACCAGCCTATTTTGTTTTCTAATTTGTGTGTCAAATCTCAATATTACTTCATGTATGGATTGAAACAGTGGTATAATTTTCATTCACACACTGTATTAGTCTATTCTCACATTTCTACAAATGCCTGAGACTGGGTAATTTATAAAGAAAAGAGGTTTAGGCCGGGTGCAGTGGCTTTGGCTTATGCCTGTAATCCCAGGACTTTGGGAAGCCAAGGTGGGTGGATCACTTGAGGTCAGGAATTTGAAACCAGCCTGGGCAACATGGTAAAACCCCATCTCTACTAAAAAAATACAAAAATTAGCCATGCATGGTGGCGGGTGCCAGTAATCCCAGCTACTCAGAAACTTACAATCGTGGCGGAAGGCAAATGGGAGTCAGCACCTCACATGGCCAGAGCAGGAGGGAGAGAGGCGGGGAGGTGTCATACACTTTTAAACAACCAGATCTCATGAGAACTCACTCACTAGCATGAGACTAGCACCTATGGGAAATCTACCCCCATGATCCAATCACTTCCCACTAGGCCCCACTTCCAACATTTGGGATTACAATTCAGCATGAGATTCGGGCGGGATACAGATCCAAACCATTTCACCCAGCAAATAGTTTTTGAGCATTCATTAGTTCATTCAAAATCAGTATTGGAATACTTACAGATGCCAAGCACTGTGTCCCAGTCACCAAGGATATGAACAGTTTAGTAGGACTAGACTCTTGTCCTATAATAACATACAGTCTAATAAAGGGAAAAGAGCGATACTGATAATGATTTTTGCATTGGAAAGTAGCATGTTAAGAGAAAGAGTTCTCATGATCTGAGTGGGAAAGATTCATCTGGCTGAGGGGATTAAGTGAGATTTTATGGAAGAAAATCACTTGGAGGTGGGCAGGATTTTGTTACGGGGAAAATGAAGGGAAAGACATTTACTATAGAGAAAATAGGCCAGGTGCAGTGGCTCATACCTGTAATCCCAACACTTGGGAGGCCGAGGCGGGCTGATCACCTGAGGTCGGGAGCTCGAGACCAGCCTGGCCAACATGGAGAAACCCCGTCTCTACTAAAAATACAAAATTAGCTGGGTGTGGTGACACATGCCTGTAATCCCAGCTACTCGGGAGGCTGAGGTAGGAGAATCGCTTGAACCTGGGAGGCGGAGGTTGCGGTAAGCCGAGATCACGCCATTGCACTCCAGCCTGGGCAACAAGAGTGAAACTCTGTCTCAAAAAAAGAGAGAGAGAGAAAAAAAAAAATACTATCGCAAAAGCAAAAAGCACAAAAGTGAGAATGTCATTTCAGTTGTTGCCCAAGAAATGATAAATAACGCAGTACTGCAACCCAAATAATGAGTAGGAGTCCCAAAGGTGAATAGACTACTCAACAGTGAATTAGAGGTATATTGGGAAGGGCCTCAAATAACAATCCAAAGTGGTACAATTCAGCCACTGAACATTTTTCATTCAGGCAGTAGCACAGTCAGAGTTATGATCTTTGAAATTGCTCTGACCATAGTCTATAGCATGATCTATTGGCAAACAGCTTGGATTCAAGTGAATGGTTAGAGGAGACTATTGGGGTAGACATTATGAGCAAAGGACTAGGGCATGGGTGAGGCAGTATCAGTGGGAATATAAAAGAGTAGAGATGTGAGAGATGTGCTAGTGATTTAGTTAATATCTAGGATGAGGTAGAAGCAGAAATTTAAAATGATGCTATGATGATTTTTTAGCCTGGGAGTAGGAAATTCAGAAGATGAAGTTTGATGAAGGATGATAATGTGTGCATTTTATGTTGAGTTTGCAATGTTGGTTTGAAAACCAAACAAATAACTATAAATATTCTGGCAGTTGATGGTTGGCTCCAAAGCTCAGGAGGATTACATGGTAGAGGAAGACTTATTAGATGTAGAAGTGATATTCGATACTCGGTGTGGAATAACCCATTCTGTCACTTATCTATTCAAGGTTTATTGAACTATTATGTGACAAGCCTAACATAATAAAACCTTTTTTTATGAGCAATTAATGTCTTTTAAAACAAACTTTGAATTCACAAAATCACTGTAAAAATATACCAGGGAGATATTTAAACCTATTTCTTTCTCTTTTTTTTAATTTTTATTTTTTTGAGATGGAGTCTCGCTCTGTCACCCAGGCTGGAGTGCAGTGGCTCAATCTCGGCTCACTGCAAGCTCTGCCTCCCAGGTTCACGCCATTCTCCTGCCTCAGCCTCCCGAGTAGCTAGGACTACAGGTGCCCACCACCTCACCCGGCTAATTTTTTGTATTTTTAGTCGAGACGGGGTTTCACCGTATTAGCCAGGATGGTCTCGATCTCCTGACCTCGTGATCCGCCCACCTTGGCCTCCCAAAGAGCTGAGATTACAGGTGTGAGTCACCGTGCCCAGCCTAAACCTATTTCTTAATTATCTTATGTTAGATAAGTGAATGTGTTTACTTGCATTGTCCTTGAATGAAGCCTTTAGCTTTTCATAGTCAACCTATCAAAATGTTTTCTGGATGAAAGAAAGGAATCTGGCAAACAAAATATCCTTTGTTGTACTGCAGGTTAAAGCTCGAGCTACTACTCGAGAGGTAATGGCTACTTATACTATTGAGGACATAGTTATTGAACTTATAATACAGCTGCCTTCAAATTATCCATTGGGTTCAATAACAGTAGAAAGTGGCAAAAGAGTAGGAGTGGCTGTTCAGCAGTGGCGGAACTGGATGCTGCAGTTAAGCACTTACCTCACCCATCAGGTAAGTTTCTGTTTATACATTTGGCTTTACAAACTTGAAAAAGATAATCTATTTAAAAGAGCATTTAAACATAAAGTACATCTTTTCTGCTTAAGGTAAAAATAGATATTAAACTTCCTTGGATAAATACAGATATATGCCTAAATGGATTAAACCTGCCTTTCTGTTTTAATTTTTAAGGTTCTGTAATTTATTTTCTGGTGTTTGCGAGGGATTGACTTTATTTCATTAACATTGTAGAAGATGTAGAACAGTACATGGTATTAAGGAAATTGTTTCAGAGAGGATCTTTTGAAAGATGCTGGACAGATGAATGCCTTCTGAGCTACTTTCACTTTTATTCTTACATTTCAACTCCTCTTTGGTTAAAGAAGTCCTAGTACTCTCAAAGACCTTTGACCTCTAACCACATTTTAAATCTTCAGTTCTGTTTGCACGCTGTGTATCTCAGGCATTCTACAGTAAGGAAAAACTTTTTTTTTTTTTTTTCCCAAGACGGAGTTTTGCTCTTGTTGCCCAGGCTGAAGTGCAATGGCACAATCTCGGCTCACTGCAACCTCTGCCTCCCGGTTCAAGCGATTCTGCTGCCTTAGCTTTCAGAATAACTGGGATTACAGGCACCCACCACCACACCTGGCTAATTTTTTGTATTTTTAGTAGAGATGGAGTTTCACCACGTTGGCTATGGTGGTCAACGAACTCCTGACCTCAAGTGATCTACCCACCTTGGCTTTCCGAAGTGCTGGGATTATAGGCATGAGCTACAGTGCCCGGCCAAGAAAAACTATTTTAAACAAATATGCTTACCAATATTGTAGAGCTGGAGCAAATAATTTGAGATAATTTCCTCATTTTCAGTTAAACATTAGAACTAACCTAAATGATTTAATTATTAAGAGAGTTATATCAAGCAATAACCTTGGACTATTACACTTTAAGTATTGGTCCAGAAGCCTTTAAAGTCTGACTTTATGGAGAAAAATTACATCTGGTTCTGAAAACTTGGGAGATTATTTTAAAAACCAACATTCATAAAAGTTAGGAGATATGAACATAGCCAAGCAGATTGTCTTCTTTCAGAATTGTAATTCAACTTTAAAATTTGTAAAATTGAATAAAAATAAAATTGGTGGTCATCAGTGTGTCGTGACTTACTTTTCTTCTTGTTAACAGAATGGAAGTATTATGGAAGGCTTAGCTTTATGGAAAAATAATGTAGACAAACGTTTTGAGGGTGTTGAAGATTGTATGATCTGTTTCTCAGTCATTCATGGTTTCAACTATTCCCTTCCCAAAAAAGCCTGTAGAACATGCAAGAAAAAATTCCATTCAGCTTGCTTGGTAAGTCTAAAGAGAAATTAACTTACTTATATTTTATGTATTTTATACACATAAACACACGCGCGCACACACACACATACACAATGTCTAACTTTGGAAGAGAAAGTGTATGTTAAACTTAATTGTAGCTAATGGGAGATATATTAAGAAGTGATTTTTAAAAATCTGCAAAAGATAATTAGCAGTTTACCGAGACTGGTAGAATCAAGGCCCTCTAATAAATGGGTGTTTCCAGTGACCTTTTACCGCTCAAGAAGTAGAAGGTCTTCTGAGATCTAGACCATGAAGGAGACTACAGGAGTCGGTGCTGGAAGCCATCTGGCATCAGAGCCCTATGCTCTTTTTAAACATAGTGAAAAAGAAGTTGCCATTTGTTCCTTTGTTTCACAGGAGATTTCTCATATCTTAGTGGTTGTGTGCATGAGCCTAAGTAGAAAGAACTTAGTGTAGCCATCGGAAGTATACTCATTTGTGTTGATTTTAGTATTCTTCCCTTTTCACTTTATCATTTGAAGGTTACTTTAGATGTATATGTACTTTATGATATATGTAAGAGGAGAGCTTTAAAAAGCTTTTGATATTTAAAACCTTTTCTTTTTCAGTACAAATGGTTTACATCTAGCAACAAATCCACTTGTCCACTGTGTCGTGAGACGTTTTTCTGAGGTTTTCTTCACTGGAAGGGATCCCTGAAGTACATCAAGCAAAGGCATTGGATTTGGATCCATCTTAAAATGTGGATGTGGGGAAGCCAGTGAGCATAACTTTTAAATAGGACCTTCTCTGGAAAATTATTTTGGTTAATGTAATAATCCTAAAATCAGGTTTACTTAACTTTAGATTGCTTTGTAAATGTTTGGAAACTTCCTTTTACAAAAGAATATTACATATTTGAGAGAAAATATTTCTATTAATGGTTTAATCTCTTTGTATATTTAAAAATAAATATGAAAAACCCTAAATTACAGAATTGGAATTTGTGAAAAGATCGTACAAGTATATTATTGATAAACCCGTTCCATTTGTCGATCTGTATTTTAGAATAGTCCAAGTAAGCAAAATGAACGGAGAGAGCTGATTTACATCTATAGATATTTTAAGTCTTATTTATTAGTCATGACAATAAATTAGTAGTATTCTGATATTTGTAGATTATTTTAATGATAAAAATGACACTAAGCTATTAATATGGCTTGTCTTAAGATATTTGGAAGCATGCTCTGAAATCCTATATAAAAGAGTTTCAGCTGAACTTCAAGGTGCCTCCATTTATCAAGGGTTATGAAACTCAGAAAATTAAATTCTTGATGCTGATCTTTTTGCTTGTGGAAGAATTATTTCTATATATTAGTGAAACTTGAATTGTAAACGTGTCAGTGAATTTATTACTCCGTTTGAGCGAGTATCTAGAGGGTGAGAATTTGAAATAGTAATTTGATTATTTCATTCATGAAGCAGAGTGGTAGTTATCTTTCTGTTGAGAGGGAAGAAATAAATGAGTATTACTGAAACTTAAAGATCAGTGGAGGAAGAAACATTTAAAAATGTTGTAGGAGACTTTCAATTTTGGAAGCAAACTTAGCTGTTCTTACTAGCCAAAGTTATACTAAATAAGAGACTTGGGGGAGCAAATGTTTTTCAGCCTTCAGAAATGGAAAGTTAAGGATTTTAGCACTAAGCAAAATTCAGTATAACAGGCTGAAGTGGAGTAAGTGAAAACCTGCCTTTTGCCACTCTTAAAAATTGTGCCCAAAATATAAAAGTATGGAAGTTTAGAACTTGGAACAATTTTATTGCAGTCTTCCATTACGTGGAAATAGCATATTTAATATCTAGGTTACTTGAGAGACCAGCTAATCATCTCTGTTGCACATGTTTGATTGGCAAAAAGCAATTCATGATAAATAAAATTACTGCTTTCCATCTACCGGGTAAAATGACTATTGAAATAGTATGAATGTGGTCAGAGGATTATAGTTGAGAGTGAAGTGCTATGTGTGGGTTATAGATCTCTCAAATTACATTTATAGATGCAGTGTCCTGCCCAGTTTTGCTTCCTACATTTTTCTGTAAAATATTTATTGTTTTCTAGCCTTGAGACTCTGAGGGTCAGTAAGTGAAGTATAGATAGCAAAATTTTACTACCTCGTTAACCCTTTTCTTAAAATATTCTCTATCTTTCTATGTCTCTCTGACATAGTAATCCCAAAGGATTGTGTTACTCCCCTGTGAAAGTTACCACTTTTCCTTTAAAAATGGTTTTGTAATAAGACTGTTTAAAACCTTTCCAGTATTGGTACATCTTGGCTTCTGGCCCAAACCCAAGCAGAAAAGAAAATGGAATAATGGAGCATTGTTTTTCCACATTAGTATTAGGGCATCAGATTCTTGGTAAAACACTATAATTAAGTAGTTATAATTAAATAACTGTTCTTCATACTTAGGACTCGTAATACGTTTCTTTAAGACTTGTAAGTATAATTGTAAAGCTTGTTAACTGTTTATATATTAAAGAAGAAGCTTTACAAAATAAGACTGAAATTCAGGATACCACATTAAAGTTTTATCTGTACAGCGTGACAACTCTAACAAAAAGGATAGCAGCCCTTAAAATTTTAGCTTAAGGACATTTTAAAATTGCATGAGATTAGCAAAATTATTAATTTAAAACCTCAAAGTAAATCGCAAATTTTAAAATTTATTTTTGACTCTTTTATCACATGCTCTAATGTATGTACATAAGTTTCTGTGGCTTAAATAATATGTTGTTATTTGATACATTTTTCTGGTGCGAGTAATTAATGTTATTATTTGATTGTTATACCATATGTGCCCATTAAAATTCTTTTTAATTACAAATATTTCAAATATACAGAAAAATAATAATATAAATGCCCTTGTACCCTTCACATACTATTTTGCCATATTTGCTTCTGATTTTTAAATAAATAAAATGTTACTCTTTTGTACTTCTCCCTGGCGCCATTCTCCTCCTTCTCTCCCTAGAGCTAACCTACTATTCTGAAGTTGGTGTGACTCCTTCCTATTTAAGATTTTATACTTTACCATGTGTTTTTATCCAGAAACAATATATAATAGTTAACAAAAATTATGTTAATGATGTTTTACTGTATGTAATCTTTTGTAACCTGATTTTCCACTTAACATAATATGCTGTTTAGTGTCATGTCAGTTTACTTACCAATTCCCTTACTAATGGTTGTTTAAATTGTTACTTTTTTGCCATTTTGAACAGTGCTGCAAGTGTACGTTCTTGATCATGTCACCTCATGCAAATGTGCTAGATATTCTGGACATATGTCTAAAAATGGAATTTTAGCCCAGCGCAGTGGCTCACACCTGTAATCCCAGCACTTTGGGAGGCCGAGGTGGGAGGATCACCTGAGGTCAGGAGTTTGAGATCAGCCTGGCCAACATGGTGAAACCCCGTCTCTACTAAAAGTAAAAAAAAAATTAGCCAAGCATGGTGGTGCACACCTGTAATCCCAGCTATTTCGGGAGGCTGAGGCAGGAGAATTGCTTGAACCCAGGAAGTGGAGGCTGCAGTGAGCCCAGATTGTGCCACTGCACTCTAGCTTGGGCAACAGAGCAAGACTCACATATATATATGTGTGTGTGTGTGTGTGTGTGTGTGTGTGTGTGTAAAAAATAAATAAATATGGAATTTCAGGTAGTAGGATGTGTATATTCTGTCACTTTAGATGTTATCAAATTGCTCTCCAAAGTGATATGCAAATTTGCTTTCCCAACTGCAGTTTAAGAGAATTCTGGTTTTCCTATCTTGTCACCAACACTTAGTCTTATCAGAATTTTTAAGTTCTGCAGTCTGAAAGCGATGAGGTAGTAGCTCTTTGTTTTAACTTACATTTCCTTAAGAAGCCTAGTTTCATTTCATATATTTATTGGTCATTATTTGACAGATTTTCGTCCATAATCTATGCCTATTTTTCTGCTAGGTTACTTCTATTCTTACTGATCATAATGCTTTATCTCATAGGACTTCTAATATGTGGCTTGTCTTTAACATTTTCTGTGACTATCTTTAATATCAGAATTTTTCAGTTAAATTTAATCAGATCTTTTTTTTTTTTACTTTTATGATTGAGCATTTTTTATGTTAGGTTTTAAAAATTCGTTACTTAACTGAGGTTTAAAAAATTCCATTATATCTTGTTAAAAGTTTTAAATTTCAAAATATGCCTAATTTACCTGGCATTATTATTTTTTTTTTAATTTCACTTTAAGTTCTGGGATACATGTGCAGAATGTGCAGATTCGTTACATAGGCATACATGTGCCATGGTGGTTTGCTGCACCTGTCTACGCATCATCTCGGTTTGAAGCCCCACATGCATTAGGTATTTTTCCTAATGCTGTCCCTCCCCTTGCCCCCTGCCCGCAACAGGCCCCAGTGTGTGATGTTCCCCTCCCTGTGTCCATGTCTTCTCATTGTTCAACTCCCACTTATAAGTGAGAACATGCAGTGTTTAGTTTTCTGTTCCTGTGTTAGTTTGCTGAGAATGGTGGCTTCCAGCTTCATCCATGTCCCTGCAAAGGACACAAACTCATTCTTTTTTATGGCTGCATTGTATTCCATGGTGTATATGTGCCACATTTTCTTTATCCAGTCTATCACTGATGGGCATTTGGGTTGCTTCCAAGTCTTTGCTATTGTAAATAGTGCTGCAGTAAACATACGTGTGCATGTGTCTTTATAGTAGAATGATTTATAATCCTTTGGGTATATACCCAGTAATGGGATTGCTGGGTCAAATGGTATTTCTGGGTCTAGATCCTTGAGGAATCACCACACTGTTTTCCACAGTGGTTGAGCTAATTTATATTCCCACCTGGTTCTACATCCTTGAGGAATCACCACACTGTTTTCCACAGTGGTTGAGCTAATTTATATTCCCACCAACAGTGTAAAGGCATTCCTATTTCTCCACAGTCTTCCTATCTTCTATTGTTTCTTGACTTTTCAATAATCGCTATCTGATTGGCATGAGATGGTATCTCATTATGGTTTTGATTTGCATTTCTCTAATGATCAGTGATGTTGAGCTTTTTTTCAAATGTTTATTGGCTACATAAATGTCTTCTTTTGAGAAGTATCTGTTCATATCCTTTGCCCACTTTTTGATGGAATTATTTTTTCTTGTAAATATAAGTTTCTTGTAGATTCTGGATATCAGACCTTTGTCAGATAGGTAGCTTGCAAAAATTTTCTCCCATTCTGTAGGTTGCTTGTTAACTCTGATGACAGTATCTTTTGTGTGCAGAAGCTCTTTGATTTAATTAGATCCCATTTGTCAATTTTGGCTTTTGTTGCTATTGCTTTTGGTGTTTTCGCCATGAAGTCTTTGCCCATGCCTGTGTCCTGAATGGTATTGCCTAGCTTTTCTTCCAGCGTTTTTATGGTTTTGGGTTTTACATTTAAATCTTTAATTGATCTTGAGTTAATTTTTGTATAAGGAAGGGATTCAGTTTCAGTTTTCTGCATATGGCTGGCCAGTTCTTCCAGCACCATTTATTAAATAGGGAATCCTTTCCCCATTGCTTGTTTTTGTCCTGTTTGTCAAAGATCAGATGGTTATAGATGTGTGGTGTTATTTCTGAGGTCTCTGTTCTGTTCCATCGAAGACTACAATTTTCTAAAGTATGTCTTTAAAATGTACAATCATTTCTATCCAGTGTGATAATTTTTCATCTTAATTGTAACATTTAGTTCATTTATATAATGTAATTACTAAGATAGTTTATAATTAGTTTTCTAATTTTTCCATCTGTTTTGTATTCTATTTCTTTTTTATTTCTATTTTCCCCTCCTATTAGTTTCTTTCACATCATAAAATATATTAACTTATTATTTAAGATTATCCTAGAGATTCCAACATTAATACCTGACTTATCAACATCTCATATTATAAGTTCTTTTTGTCACTTCCTGGAAAATTCAAAGCATACATCCTTAATCCCAGCCCTTTGGGAGATCAAGGCAGGAGGATCACTTGAGCTCGAGTTCAAGACCAGGTCGGGCAATGTGGTGAAACCCCATCTCTACAAAAGAAAATACAAAAATTAGCCAGGCATGGTGGTGTGCACCAGTAGTCCCAATTACTTGGGAGACTGAGATGGGAGGATTGCTTGAGTCTGGGAGGTCAAGGCTGCAGTGAGATGAGATCATGCCACTGCACTCCAGCCTGGGTGACAGTGGGAGACACTATCTCAAAACCAAAAAATTCAAGGACCTTAGAATAACTTCAGTACTATCATTATCATTATTATTATTATATTTTGTGATCAAGTCTCACTCTGTCACCTAGGCTGGAGTGCAGTGGGATGAACTCAGCTTACTGCAACCTCCACTTCCTAGGTTCAAGTGATTCTCTTGCCTCAACCTCTCAAGTAGCTGGGATTACAGGCGTGTGCTACCACGTCCAGCTAATTTTTGTATTTTTAGTAGAGACAGGGTTTTGCCATGTTGGCCAGGCTGGTCTCGAACTCCTGACCTCAAGTGATCCTCCTGCCTTGGCCTCCGAAAGTTCTGGGATTACAGGCATGAACCATGATGCCTGCCCCAGTACTATTTTTTTTATGCTATTGTTTAAACGCCACAGGACATTATTGTTGTTTTATGAATCTATATATTCATTTATATCTTTCTTCACATTTACCCTTTGTATATTTCTTCATTCCATTTTGCATCTGGTAATTCTTTCATCACCTTGGCAGTATTACTCCTTTGTCTTTCGGAGTTCTATTGTTTCTGTTACAAAGTCATCTCTGAGTCCTCTTCCTTTTAAGAAAATGTGTACCCTACCCCACTCTACCCCCAGCTGCTTTTATTTTCCCTTTGTTTTGGGTTTTGAACAGTTTTACTATGATGTCTCTAGGGGAATCTGTGATTTGGTGTCTTTCATTATTTTTGGAAAATTCTCAGGCATAATCTCTTCTTATATCACTTTTGCCCCAATTCTCTCTTTCCTCGCCTACTCAGTTAGGGCTTTTCACCATTAGCCGTACGTGTGTTAGATTCTTTTCTGTTTTGTTGTTTTATTTGTTTTTTCTCTTCATGCTCATTCTGGATTTTTATTGACCTATTTTGTAATTCACTGAACTTCTCTTCAGCTATGTCTAAGCTGTCATTTAATTCATTTACTGCATTCTTAATTTCAGTTCTATTATTTTCAATTTCTACAAGTTCCATATAATTATTTTTACTGATTTGGACCCTCTGCTGAAATTCATCAGCAGAGTATTTTGTATGTTGTATCTTTTCTAGAGCATATTAATTACAGTTACTTAGAAGTAATTTGGAAGCCCATGCTTGATAATTCTTAACACAGTTTCCACTTTTCTCTCCATTTTCAGTCATTTGGTCTTATCTTTTAGTATGGTCAGTAATTTTTGTGTGAATGAAAAATTATTGAGTTGATTATTGATTAACTCTTGATGCTATCTTTTTTTCATAGACAGTTTACTTTTTGCTTCTGGCAAACAGTTTGGATAAGAGCAGATCCGTGTGGCAGTTAGCTAATTAAACAGCTGAGCTTTAGTCCTTTTGAGGGTTGGTATATTTACTTTTCATTCAAGGTTCTTTCACCTTGATTGACCCTGAACTTGTTTTTGTATTCCCAGACATGTAAGACAGCCTAAAGTTCTGCTCACCTTTTCAACCTCCGGGCCTCTGTTTTCAGCTCATTATTTCCCACCATTTAGCTTCTTAGCCTTAGGCTACTGCTTATGAATTGGCAGTTGCCTCAAGGGGAAAACAGGTGCTAAATGTCATTCTCACCTTTGCACTTCGCTTTTGCACATGGTCTTGACCCTTCAATTTCTTTTTTTTTTTTTTTTTGAGGCGGAGTCTCGCTCTGTCGCCCAGGCTGGAGTGCAGTGGCCGGATCTCAGCTCACTGCAAGCTCCGCCTCCTGGGTTTACGCCATTCTCCT